CCCCCCCAGGCAGGGCTGGGTTCTACGTCGTTGGGTGCCACAGAGAACCGCCCCCCCAGGTGGAATCGGGGTTCCCCACCAGGTGCCCTGCACTTGCTGTGTCCAGCCTAGGATGCTAATGGGGAAACTGAGGCACGGGGGTGGAAGCTGGGGCACAGAGGGGACATGGAGGGACGCGGGGCATGGGGGAAGGCAAATGAGGCTGGGAGGAGAAACTGAGGCACAGGGGGACATGGGATGACATGGAGCACATGGGGACATGGGAGATGGGGGGACACGGGAGGTGGAAACAGGCCTGGTGGGGGAAACAGACATGGAGGGACATGGGACACAGAGGGGACATGGGAAACTGAGGCCAGGGAGGGGAACCTGAGGCAGGGAAGGACCTGTGACACGGCGGGGAAGGGGCGCCCCGCGGTGGGGGTGTTTCCCGGTGTCCCCCGGCGCAGGGATGACGTGCCAGGCGCGGAGCTCCTACCTGGTGGACGAGGTGCTGTGGGGCCACCGCTTCACGTCGGTGCTGAGCCTCGAGGACGGCTTCTACGAGGTGGACTACGGCAGCTTGGGATGTACTGGGCTGCACTGGGCTCTGTTGGGCTGTACTGGGATGTACTGGGATGTACTGGGATGAACTGGGCTGTACTGGGGTGAACTGGACTGTACTGGGCTGTACCGGGCTGTACCGGGATGAACTGGGCTGTACTGGGATGTACTGGGCTGCACTGGGCTCTGTTGGGCTGTACTGGGATGTACTGGGATGTACTGGGATGAACTGGGCTGTACTGGGGTGAACTGGACTGTACTGGGCTGTACCGGGCTGTACCGGGATGAACTGGGCTGTACTGGGGTGAACTGGGCTGTACTGGGGTGAACTGGGCTGCACTGGGCTCTGTTGGGCTGTACTGGGATGTACTGGGCTGCACTGGGCTCTGTTGGGCTGTACTGGGATGTACTGGGATGTACTGGGATGAACTGGGCTGTACTGGGGTGAACTGGACTGTACTGGGCTGTACCGGGCTGTACCGGGATGAACTGGGCTGTACTGGGATGTACTGGGCTGCACTGGGCTCTGTTGGGCTGTACTGGGATGTACTGGGCTGTACTGGGATGTACTGGGCTGCACTGGGCTCTGTTGGGCTGTCCTGGGTTCGTTTGGTTGTACTGGGCTGTACTGGGTGGCTCTGGGTTGTATTTGGTTGTACTGGGTGGCGCTGTCATGGCCACCCAGCTGGGTGAGGGGAGCGCACTGGGACACACTGTGGGGCACTGGGGCACCCGGGGGATGCACTGGGTTGTACTGGGATGCACAGGGAGGGAGTGCGCTGGGATGAACTGGGAGGAGGTGTGCTGGGATGCATTGGGATGCACTGGGATACACTGGGTTGTACTGGGATGCACAGGGAAGGGGTGCGCTGGGATGCACTGGGTTGTACTGGGATGCACTGGGATACACTGGGATGCACTGGGATGCACTGGGATACACTGGGTTGTACTGGGATGCACAGGGAAGGGGTGCGCTGGGATGCACTGGGTTGTACTGGGATGCACTGGGATACACTGGGATGCACTGGGATGCACTGGGATACACTGGGTTGTACTGGGATGCACAGGGAAGGGGTGCGCTGGGATGCACTGGGGTACGCTGGGATACGCTGGGTTGTACTGGGATGCACAGGGAAGGGGTGCGCTGGGATGCACTGGGTTGTACTGGGATGCACTGGGATACACTGGGATGCACTGGGATGCACTGGGATACACTGGGTTGTACTGGGATGCACAGGGAAGGGGTGCGCTGGGATGCACTGGGGTACGCTGGGATACGCTGGGTTGTACTGGGATGCACAGGGAAGGGGTGCGCTGGGATGCACTGGGTTGTACTGGGATGCACTGGGATACACTGGGATGCACTGGGATGCACTGGGATACACTGGGTTGTACTGGGATGCACAGGGAAGGGGTGCGCTGGGATGCACTGGGGTACGCTGGGATACGCTGGGTTGTACTGGGATGCACAGGGAAGGGGTGCGCTGGGATGCACTGGGTTGTACTGGGATGCACTGGGATACACTGGGATGCACTGGGATGCACTGGGATACACTGGGTTGTACTGGGATGCACAGGGAAGGGGTGCGCTGGGATGCACTGGGGTACGCTGGGATACGCTGGGTTGTACTGGGATGCACAGGGAAGGGGTGCGCTGGGATGCACTGGGTTGTACTGGGATGCACTGGGATACACTGGGATGCACTGGGATGCACTGGGATACACTGGGTTGTACTGGGATGCACAGGGAAGGGGTGCGCTGGGATGCACAACCTCGGGCACAGCCGCAGTGCCGGGCACAGCGACACCTCTGGGCACAGCCAGCCCTGGCACAGCCAGCCCTGGGCACATTCGGTCCCCAGGCACATCCGGCTCAGGGACAGCCAGACACCCTTGGGCACAGCCGGACAGTGTCCCTGGGCACAATGTCCCTGGGCACAGGCAGACACCCTGGGTACAGGCGTCCCTAGGCACAGGCGTCCCTGGGCACAGCCACATCCGGCGGCCGTGGCCTTTCCCCTGGGCTAATTTTAGCCCGTTTATGTCCCCGTTGGCTCCTCAGTGGCACGAGTGTCCCCATCTGGCAGCCCCTGCCCCGGGACCGGCATGCGGGGAGCGAAGGGCTGATGGACTGGGAATGCGGGGGGGGCCAGCGGGGATACCCCATGGGGATACCCCATCCCCGGCCATGTGGGGCCCAGGTGTCTGGCTGCCCCCCGGGTCACTCCCTCAACGTGGGGGGCCAGGCC